TTTTTTTTACTGTAGCCTACACAAATGATAATAACCCCTATAATAATGGATGTTCACGTTATTTTGTTCAACCGCTGTATATTATAATATTTAGATGCAATAATACTCATCTTCTGTTCTAATTAGGACAAACAGTGTGACAATTTCGACAGTTACATCTTCAGAGTAGTCAGAAGCAAGTCAGAAGATTAACGAGCAGTAACCAACACAGCTCTTTTCCGACATCCTTGGGTTCAAAGGGGAGCAGGTTTGTGCATGATGGACATTATCATTCATTTACAGAATATCCTCTCTAGTGTTTATAGTGGTCAAGAGCAAATAAACAGCAGGCCTCCTCAAAGTCGGAGTAAATTTGGTTTAGGTCTGGGAATATGCCTTAAGGATGGGAAAGTGGGACCGGTGTGCTGAGGGGTGGACAGAATTTTTATTTTTTTTTCCAAATTGCTTCCATGACACAGTTACACTCATGCCATGTTTGAAATATCCGGCTTTAATCAGAGCAAATACATTGCAAGGAGATGCGAAGCTCCAAATCTGGTACCTATTACTGATACTGTAAAATAGGATTGAAGTCAGATGACTGGGCTTTGATCTTACAACCAGCACCAATTTTAATTAAATAATGATTGTTTGGAGAGAATGAGACCCTCCCTGAAGCTTTAATACAATTACAGTATCACTGCATATGAAATGCCAACATTGAATCACTTGCACTTTAATAGCTTTAATTCAAAAGGAAAGTCAGCAAACAATTAACAGCAGATTTTTGTTAAATATACAATGCTTGCACATCCTTTCCATAACTAGTAATTAATTTGAGCCATCATGGGACATGTGTGAACCATGGCACTCTGTGCTAGTCGCTAGCCGCTGAAGCAGAAAACAGATCTTTGTTTTTGTAAAGGCGAAGCTTTTTGTAAAAGTTCTCAAGTAGTGACACTAAAATGCGTCGAAAATCTGTTGGCACCAACATAATTTCATGGCAATTTGTAGCTATTTTAAATGTTGTTGAATTAGTGGTTGGAGGCCTGTTCACACCAAGAACGATAACTATAAAGATAACTATAACGACAGTTATATTAGCGTCCACACTAATGGATGCTAACATTCTGTTTATTATAATTGCACACTGCCATTATGCCATCTGACACTTTAAATGCTCAAGCTGTTGTTATAGTTCATCAGCTAGAAATAAATTGTTTTAAAAGTGATTCAAGCAAT